CACAGCCATGGGCCTCTGGGCCCTGAGGTGGCTAGTTACCTCCTCCAGGCGCTTGTACCGCAGCGGTTTCACGGCAAGGGCCTCACTGCTCCACGTGCCGGGCCGGATCCAGTACTCGGCCTCCACCCAGTCCCCCTTGCAGGGCCGGAAACCTGGGCCGTGGAGGAGGGAGAGGACTAAGCCCCGGAGGGGGACACACCGTAGCTGTGTCTGGGCCCGTGGGGCAGTCAGAAGGTGGCCTCTGGTGATGGTCAAAGCTGCAGTTGTGGGCCCCCCAGTGGCTGGGAGGGGTCACCCTCAGGCAGGCTGCTGGGACACGTACAGCTGCCCATCCAGAGCCAGGCCTGCTCTTGAGCCCCACGTCCTATCGAGCAGGGCCCCAGGTAGCTGCCATTTTGTTCTGAACTGCCTGGATGACCACTACCTGGGGTGCACACCGGCTCCCTGAGCAAGCAGGCACTCTGCGCAGGACAAGGACACAGGTGCAAGCATGGACAGACGGACGGCGCCCTGCTGTAGGCCCCTGAGCACGTGCTGTGAGCTCAAGGAGTCTGGTGGCAGGACGCAGGCGGTGTGCCAACTCCCAGGCACCCCACTCCAGAGCCTGCAGGTGCCACCCCCGCCAACCACCACCCAGTTATAGGAATGGTGCACCCTGCGTACCTACACACATGCCCTCCCTGAGGCCTGAGCACCTTCACACTCATTCGCCCTCCCTGATCGTGGCGGGAGGAGGGCGGCCTGTACCTTCGCACACACAGGTCAGTGGGAAGTACGTGGTCTGGTTGATGTAGCCGGCGCCCTCTGTCAGTGAGGTCACACAGCCAATCAGAAGGTGGGTGCTGGGATCGGCTGGCCCTCTGCTGTTCTTCATGTCATCGTCATCTTCCCACGAGTCAGAGACGGCCTCCACCTGGGCAGAGGTCAGCCCGTGGGCAGGTCAGCCTGTTCAGCCCTTGCTGCAGACAGGCTGCCTGCCCAGAGGAGGGCCAGGAGCGACAGTGACCCTAGAGCAGCTGTGAGGGCACGAGGACCAGGCCCCTCGCACAGGGGCTGCGGCAGGTGCTCACAGGAAGGAGGAAGTGGCACTGGACCCATCTGGGAATGGACAAAGCTGGGAAGGGGTAGCAGTGGGCGGGGCACTGCCAGGGGAGGGAAGATGGGTCCTCCACAGAGGCTGGGCCAGCGGCACACGCTGACCTTCTGGGGTGCCCTGTGCATCTGCAACAGAAGCATGGCAGGCCCGGCTCTGGGTCTCCCACATGGCCCACGTCACAACCAGACAAGCAGCAGATGGAATGCAGAAGTGGCAGCCACTGTCCACAACAGTGCAACTGTCTCCCACTGCCCAGCAGCAGGTGTGTCTGCTCCTGCCCCTCTGAGCTGGCCCTCGTCTGAGGGCAGGAGGCTGACTGAGAGTCTTGTCAGCATGACAGCTCTCCTAAACCGAGTAATAGGAACACTCAGGGCACTGAAGCTAGGAGAGGGGGACATGAGAGGGTTCCAGTGTCGCCCAAACACAAATGTTGGGTGAGGGGGGCCTCTGTTCCCAGCACTGAGCTCCTCCAGGGAAACGAGTTGGGAGAAGCAGGTCCCCAGGGGCTAAGAGTGAGCCCCGCAGGGAAGTCTACGGCAAAGTCGACTCCCTGCAGGGAGACATGTGTCAGGGCAACCTGGGTGTGCCTCTCTGAGATTCCACGTGACAAAAAGAGCCTTCTGAGGCTCCCAACAGAACCCAGAGTCACGAGGAAAGACAGACACGGAAAGTGGACTGTGGTAGAGAAGTGCTGGACACCGTGCACATAATGATTCTCCAGAGACCACCGTGGATCCAAGCACTATAAGTGCCCACAGCAAACCAACATGAGGAGCTAGTCACTGCACTACAGTGGCGCAATGCAAATCCAAATCATGCCCCCACATCTCATTTTGAGACCTCCAATACCCTGCAGCCTCGCTGATGTGCCCACGTCTCACGCTCAGACTGCCCACACCCTGCAGCCTCACCCCCGTGCCTGGAGGACTTTGTACCAACAAGGGGTAAGGAAGCAGACGCTTTGACCTTCAGGTTTAAACTGCAGAAACGCTGCTTTCACATGAGAAGACTCTCGAGCTTTGCGAGTCTGATAACACAGTAATCATCTAATAATCCTTGCTTCAAAATCACAGTCTGGAAACATGAGAAAACAAAGGCTGACCATCCAGGCTGACTTCACCTCCCGGGGCAGGTTCCCAGTGGACAGTCACAGTAACACACACACACTCACCCTCTGAATCGACAGAAGGGCACGGCAGTGACCTGCCACAGCCTGCCCTGCCACGCCCGCCCGTCCCTGCAGGCTCACCCGGATGGCTCTCAGGCCCTTGGACACCCAGTTCTCCTCCACGATGGCAACCACCTCCTGCCCGACGCTCAGCAGCACTTTGCTGGCAACCACCTCGTTGGAGAAGTAGATCAGGTCATCGATCATGCCGTAATCGCTGCAGTAGCGCGTCACAACGCCCTGCACTGTTTTCAGCTTGGTGTCGCCTGCCAGCCAAAACCGTGGCCGTGTTAAGCCCAGCCCTCCAGAAAGGCCTGCTGAAGCCCCCTCCCCCCTCCCACAGGGCCTGCGGGGCCACCTGAGCCCGCGCAGTCAAGAGAGCCCCATGCTGGCCTCTAAGGCAGACTTCCCAAGGCCCTCTGGCACACGGCCAGAGGACCTGTGGCCAGGGCTTCCATACCCAGCTCCTCCACTAGCCCCCAGTGTGGCGGCCCTGGGCAAAACCCTCCGTCACCCTCAGCCAGTCCTCCCTTTACCCACTTAGTGACATGTGAGCGTTAAGCCCACTGCCACAGTCGATGCCAGCTCTTAGGGATACTGTAGGGCAGAGTCAATGTGCATTTAACTGGGGTAGACAGCATCAGCTTTCTCCCACGGGTGGTGGGTGGGTTTGAACTGCTGGCCTTGTGGCAATTTGCCCCATGCTCAGCCCACTGCACCACCAGGGCTCCTGGCTTGAGGGCTATGTGACGGAATACAAGCATGTGCTCTGGGCAGCTAGGTAGGCTCGGGTGCCCACCTGACCTTAACCTGTCTCCCTTCATCATCCCAGCATTGAGGGTCCCACTCCTCTGCCACTCTGGGCCCAACCCTTCCCTGGCATCCTAGTCTTGGGGGGAGTGCTTTTACAGCTGGGCTCCGGCCAAGAGCAACATGCCCAGTGGGTCCCCCAGCTGTTGGGTGTTGACACCAGATCCTAACTCTTCTCAAGTGGGAGCATGGTGGAGCACTACTGGCCGGACATGGACCGGAGACAGAGGCTGAGCCGGGACCAGGGATGGAGAGCCAGCATCCCAGCTTGCCAGCGGGGAGACTCCAGCTGGACACCCAAGACCACGGGAGGTACATCCTTTGCTCAGGGCAGAGGAGGGCAGGTGGTGTGGGCATCCTGTCGAGTTGCTGGCCACACCAAACCAGAGGAAACGAGGGTGACGGACAAACCATGGAGACCCCAAACAGTAGCATGAATGGCCAAGACACCCCCCTCCCCCTGCCCCGCAAAGCACTGCTTAAGAATGCGAAGGCCTCTAAATGATGGTGGAGGAAGTGCAGCCGTCAGAAAAAAGATGTGGTCAGAGCAAAGATGGCTCCTGTTTCCGCACCTGGAGGGCTCCTCGCCCCTGTACCCAAGGTTGGGCACCACTCCTTTCCACCACCCCACTCCCCTGTACAGGAGGAGGATGACCCCGTGCCCCAAGCCGGGCAGGATGGGCACCCTGCCTCCGTGCGCGGAGAATGGACACCTGCGTCCCCGTGCCCAGGGGGAGGACGCCCTCCGTGTCTGCGCGCCGGGTCAAGGGTGGACCTCCATGTCCGCGCGCCCCCACGCGCGGAAGGACGCCCTGGACAGAGCACAGAACCTGCATCCGCGCTGCCACCCGCACCTTCCGCGAGCTCCAGCCCGGCTTCCTCCGCGGGGGAATCCGCCCGCCTCCAGAAGAAGGCCAGCAGCTTGGCCGCGAGGCGCAGCATGTTCACACCCGCCGCAGGTGCGCTCCACCGCCTCAGTCGCCCGAGGCGCAGCACGCGGATGCGCAGTTCCGCAGCTCGTGGCCAATGGCGACGCCGAGTCGCGCCGCTCCAGCGCCCGCTTCCCGCTGCCTTGAGTGGCCAATGGCAGCGTCGCACCAGGCCTGCGCCCGCCGCCGCTGCTCTGGCTGGCCAATGGCAACGCCGCGCCCGCCTCTGATGCTCCGGCTGGCCAATGGCGACGCCGCGCCCTCCCTGGCCG